AACTTCTGTGAAGAACCTATTCTTTTTGCCACTTTCAATCTTTGAAGTGGCACGCAGCTTCTACGTATCGTATTCTTTCTTATTAAATATGATGTCTTCGACTGTTGGTAATAAACGTACGCACTTCTCTCATTCTACAAGCGTCTTTACGTATTATATTTCGTATAGTTGAAGTGACGTGTAATTTACCCAAGGTCGTCAAATTGATTCCTGTAACATCTTGTTTTCATAAAAATAGATGAAAGAGAAATTATATGTCATCCCTGTTTTCACTCAAAATATGTGCAATAAGCATATTCGATTATACTTAATTCGAGCAATCGTCTATAATATCCAAAGTGCAATCTTATATGTTTCCTGTCTTTGCTGATAGAATCTTAATAACTATAACACATAAGCTACATGAACACTATTTAAGTGTAATATTTTTATATGTTTTACGATGCACAGCTGTCTGTTGTAGAATATCGAATAATATGCTAATTTGAAGTCAATTTTCTAATGAATAGAAAAACAATATGGTACAATGATTAGTTTCGATATTTTTGAAAATGTGTGCCAATTGTACACTTTTGAGGCAAATATTCCATTTACACTTTGTACATGGTGGAAAAGAACCCTTTTATACCATTATTGATTAGAGCATACGTACTTATCTTATAATTTAGATCACAACGTCTGTTGTCGAGATCGATTTAAAGACTAGTACGGCGGAATGAATTTTATTGAGTCGGCCTGGAGCAATGCTGGAGTTTTAATAACAACATTTTCAAGTATGATATTAAAACATATGATGGATGTTAGGTTGTTGAACGTATTACTAAATCAAATTGATTGTGCGTTATTCTATATTGTTTTAATACAATGTGTCTACCATCGGATGATAACTATATCAATAATTTATTACGTTCGGAATTGTTTACGTTATATGCCAGAAAGATGCACTTTCCCGCTCCAGTGGTTCCGACGGTGAATGCAGATGATGAACTAAGAAAATCCCATAGGTTCTTCATCAATTAGTCTTCATTAGTGAACATTCTCAATGTTGCCTGATAAATGTATCCGTTATGATTTTATTTTTCTGACACCAAGGATTCTCATATACGCTCTTCCGTGAGTCTGTTCAAATTCTTTGGATTGTAATGCTTACCCCGGGATTGGAATTGCAGATAAAGCTGTTTTTGAAGAACAAATATCACACTCTCGGAAAGGGTAACTAATGGTACCTTTGTGTTTCTTCAAATGGCACAGTTTGTATATGATTCTGCATGCTTATCTTCCAAACAGAATCAAAGGTTTTATCGAAAAAGTTCAGCTTATATTCAGACAAAACATCCATTGTTATTCTCATGCGATTTATGTCGAAAACGTACTGGTTTATCTACCATTTCAACTCCTCGTACCCCACACTGGATATCATTAAATCGTGATGAGCGATTCAAGAAACTGATAGCAAAGCTCGTGATTTTGTGATTCAGAAATCCATTAAACTATTATGAAATCTAAATCTAAGCCAGTCGTAATCTAGGAATTCCTTTTCCACAGAAGCATCGATTATTTCTCCCGTTCTTCTGTCATATGTCTACCATGTACCTGGAGACGGAATAGGCTTAAATCTGACGTTATCTGTTTTGATGCTTTCAAGAGTAATCATTAGATGTGTCTGAGATACTGTCCTGTGAGAATTGAGAATACTAAGAACCTTTAACACATTTTAAAGTCAATGACATATTTTAGTAATGATTGTGTGTTTGCCGTTGTAGATCGCGTTTCCACTAAGTACGCCACCAAGCTTCCGTATGCTTCTCATTTCCCGCTCCTCTAGATGTTGGCTCACGATGTTTGCTGAGTGTTTATAATTGCATTTCAAACATTATACACTGTAAAATATTATCTTCCTCGTGACCCATCACAATAAAATCCTTAAATAAGGCATCATCTAATTTATAACGATGTTCTGCAGTGTATTGTACATTTTCGTGTATAATCAATGTTTACTTATTGTTGCGATTAAAAATATAAATACATAAAAAGCGTTTATCGATTTGCGCACTTTATCACGGGAACTTCATTTGCACTTATTGTGTCGCGATTTAAATAAAGATATGTTGGTGTTAGCAACTATAGCATCTAGCAACAGACCGATAACAACTATTACCATGCTCTCCAAGTGCATCTGATCTATTTTTCAATTCCCTCCTACACGTATCAGTTTAATGCTTGGAGAATATATTAGACGGATCTATGCTTGTAGATTGATAATTAAGTTATTTTCATGATGGCCGTAATTACAGTTTGGGGTTTAGTCTCTACTCTCTTTGAATTCAAAATATAAGACTGACTGGCCTGCCATATTCTTTGATTCACTCCTCCTAAGTTAATTTGAGCACAATGCCTCTCGGTATTTTGTACGAATGTAAGAACATGAGCCAGGAGAGATCAACATGTAAGAAAAATACCAAGGGCGCGATCAACGTTATCAAATCCCCAACATCCCAATCCCTGATCTAACGGCAAATTTTTCAGGAACTTAGCTAGTGCATTTCAATATCCAGCACAGTCAAACTGAAATTGTACTGGGCCAGTGTACAGTACTGATCTCCAAGATTAAAATCTTATTTCACAGTTGAATTACTTCAACAAAGAGGGATGGAATTTTGAAATAAGTAAGTAATACCCATTGATCCCAATACAAGCATGATCAACTCTCCGATTCACATGGTATTTCGTTCACAATTTGTCCATGATGCCATAATACACTGAGGCAAAATATGATCGATTGTTCATTCTATTATATCAGAAACAAACCTCAGCTACCGAATTAGTAAATGCCAATAATTTAGTTGACGGCTTTATATACAAAAAAACTTGGTCGAACCAAAATGTTCTGCCACAATTCAGAGTAAGTAAGTAAGTAATTGGGCATATTTTCCCTTGCTTTGTTAAAGATGCTGAGCAAGCTTGCCTGCCATTTTTAGGACAATTCTTGAACCAGTGGCCCAAGATAAATATCTTACCTTTCTAGAATGGCAGCATATGACCCTGAATACAACAGAACAACAGAGAATTCTCATTTTAACTGGACACTTTTCAATTTAAACATCATATTTTTAATTTAATTATTAAACATATTTGCCATGTAAAAGTCGTGTAAAATATGGGAAATAAGGGAAATAAGCAAGTTTGCTTGAAAAAACTGATAAAAATGTCGTGGGAATTCTGCCTACAACGTGTGAAATAAGGAAAAAAGAAAAATCGTACCTTCGATGTTCCGACATTTTGTTAAAGAAGTACATTCCTTTTGATATAACCGGACATTCTTAAAAATAAACCACAGCTCATTCTATTGTGTTACTAAGTGGAGTTTAAACAGAAGGAAACTATAATCAATGGGAATGAGAGCAAACTGGAACCAATCATTGGTACGAATGGAACCCTCCTGGAAGTGAACATCACTCCTATCGAAAACAATCGGACAATCTATCATCGAAAATTCAAGAAAAGCAAAACCTTTCTAACTTATGAACTAAAGGGCACTGATTTAATGTAAACAGGAACAACTATGACTGAGAACAAATGCAATATTGGAAACAAATAATATTTAAGAGGCAGTATGCAAACTTAAATTATTTTATGTCGAACTGTAACCAATGAAAAAGTAGGTTTCACTTTCACTTGTACTATATTACCTTTGCTGCTGTATCTTCAACGTTCACTTACTATACAGATACTCAAGCACAAAGAAACTTACTTTATATTTAGGCGATAAGCTGTTAATAATATTTTATACTATTTTGTTCAACGTCACCAGCGCTACTATTCCATACAATTATGTAAGGCTCTTATCAGCCAAAAAAAATTATTTGACTTTGTTAATATTGTGATGTAATAGTATTGTTATTGTATAATATTATGTAATATCATTTTTATAACTATAAATAAAAAGAAATTTTATACAGGCCACAGGATGGCTCGAAATACACCAACACATTTTGAATTATGTTTGCATGATTTATTGTTACGGAGTCATAAAAAGTCTGTAAACATACATAAACAAAACCGCATTGGTATGAACAACACTTCGATTTTAGATACAAACCCAATTCCATAGAAATAGTCATAGCAAAACTTTGTGAAACAGCATGTCTGAAAGTGTGAATTACAGTTAAGCACGGTATTCTAATTGATTTTTGCCGTTGGCCTTAATGGAATTTCACTATCTGTAATCCGGTGTCAGTTTTCTGAACAATCGAACCATCTTGGACAGTAAAAGTGAACTTAACCATTTTAATTGTTATCATCAGAACAGTGCTTCCCAAATATGAAAACTGTGAAACATGTTTTTCATTGTTTGCCAGCTCTGCAAGAACAATGGTTGGGACTATGAAAATGGAATAGAAACTCATCAGCATGACCATTTTACAATTAGTTTACACCCTTCTTATTCGAAAATCCATCATATAATTTCTTCATCTCGATCTCGACCAATCACAGTACCATCTATTAATCAGGAGAGGATTGTACGTGAATTCCTAGTAGTACAAGGAATGGAGAAACCAAGACGTTTCATTCCTTCACAAGACATATTTATTGGATATTGCTAAAGGATTAGAGCAAGTGGAAGTTACTCGATGTCAATCTATTTTGATGATGTCGTGAGGGTTTGATGATATTTCCCGGAACAGCCTACATCTGTAATCCAATGGTCCAAGTCCATCATTTTTCATTAACACCACTCCCCCCTCCCATTGCATGAATGTTCCAAGTCGTAAAACTGAAAAAGTTCATGATTGAATTGTGTCCAAACGGTCACAAGTCTCTTAGAGCTAGAGTGTTTCGAAGTACATACTAGATAATTCTTGAGCTAATAGCAGGTCCCAGCATGCAAACTAAACAAGTATCTTTAAATTTTAGAATATATTTAGATCATATGTCATTTCTAAACATCCCCAAACTTTACTTCAGGAAAACAAAATAGTTTTACAATCACGTATGATGTTTGACTCGAGAACGAACATCAAAGTTCCAGTCTATTTTGTGTAATAAATGAGTGTTTTATTTCCATGCAACATTATATTCTGATATTCCCGCCTGCTTACAATTTTGACAGTCATTCTATCAACAATCATCCTGAAAAAAGAAGCAGAAAATATTTTAGAAATATAGTTATAAAACTCAAGTTCAATTGCTAAAAAGGTGTCATTAAAATAAATTGTATCCTTCTGCTATTGGTCCATAATTGTAACTGGGAATGTAGGGTATGTCCCGAAAGTATTTAGCAGCAGGGCCATCTTAAGAGAACAAGGCAGGTGGACGATATCGTATCTAAAATATAGCAGCGTCAGTTTGTTGACCTAGTAAGCAAAATGGCCGCCGGTAAACATAGTTTTAAAAGCGTTTTGGTTCAATACTAATCCACTTTATTATCGTAAGTAAGTAGGTACACTATTTCCCCACCCTTGTTGGAACAAAATAGCATATACAACATGTATTAAGACCTCTCAATATTATGGTTATACAAGGAATTTTTGGTTTATTTAAAAAAAAGTATTCAACAAAATCCCAAAACAAAATTTCCTTTGTACAATTACAATATTGAGAGACCTAAACATGTTGTGTTTATGTCGTTATGTTCCAATGAGGTTTGGAAAGATGTTTCATTTCACTCTGGAAACATGATACCAAGAACAAAACAAGTGTTTGATGTGTTTTCTAAAACAATATAGATGAAAGTATGTATATATTTTTCAAATTATATTGTTACCATTCAAAAGATGACCATTAAATTGACGAAGTGTTAAATTTTTAGATTTTTTATGACTGGTTTAAGAGAAACGTGTGTTCAAAAAGTTCTCCATATCGATACCACTCCTTTATATTTTTAGCGTTTAATCAAGTTTTAATGCTACTGAACTTATGATATGACCCCTGAAATCTTACTTTCACTTTCCCTGAAAAAGCTTACTTTCAAATTCTGAATAGCTTCAACATCCCTATTACCATGTGTGTACATTGTAAAAGTAAAAGATTCCAAGAAAGGATAGTAGGTGGGAAAATCACGTCAGATGTTTCTTCATAGGACTAAATCTTTATGATATTTCTAAGATTTGAAAAGGTCATATTGTTCTACAACATGGCATATCGGAAATCTATGGCCGCCGTTAGGCAAACGTGACACGAGACATAAACGCTTGTGTGTCGTGTCAAGGTAAACATCTTACCTTGAGATATAATTAACATGTCCAAACATACACTCCGGTCCATCGTTCGTGTTCAATTTTAAGGGGATACTGGATGCTAGATACTATTAGAGTTGCAATTATCGCATTTTACAAATTCGCTGATTTATAAATACGTTAGTGAATTATTTATTTTACATATAGGTTAAATGAAATATTAACCTTGAGATAAAACTGCATGCTTGCTGCAGAAGTAGCCTCCGTGTACCCCAGCACACGGTACGTTCCTCCAATCTCCATCGAATCCCCATGCAGGTGGCATAACCTGCGTACAATCATCGTACAGGCCAAACACACCCTCCTAATAAGCAGAAATGGATGTTATTCCCAATAGGAAGTGTACGTGAACTTGAGATTAGTCCTCCCCTTAGTCGTATTTGTTTGATATTTGTAACAATTTGGTCTTTGCAAAACCGAGAGAGGGAAAGTAATCCCTTGTAGTGATAAATGATTAATAATTGTACACATTCACGTACACGCGTTTCCAACTTCCAAGAATGTGTTGGTTAACATATAAAAAATATATAAAACACTTATGTGTATATTTACCTCAGACTACTAATTAGCTATGTCACATTAATGTATATAGCATAGAGGAACATCCTTGGTCCAAGGGTGTTTCACTTCTGAATTGAGTAATAATTAATGAAATCCTTTGAATGAAGGATGTAGAGGAAAAGTATCTGAGATCCTACCTTCAACCCTTCTTCAGTTGCCCAAGCAAGGAAATTGACTGGTGAGCCGTCGGGCCAAACAAAAGTACCTTCATTTGCTATATCATTCAATCCTATGTAGAACGCTTGGCTTTGGTTTTGAAGCACATCTGCAGTATAATACAGCTTTCTGAGATGAACACATCAGCAAACATATCAATTGCATGAAGTTAAGCTAAACCTTTTTCAATTTTCAATGCACTGTTAGAATAGTTTATATTGTACCTCGTATGTGGTCCATATCTCTTGTACTATGAATTGAGGCCAAATTACCGCCACGGGTGACACAGTCAGCTTGCGCTTTCGAAAATGATTTTGTTGAAAAGACTGTTAAAAAGCAGGTAGTTCCAACAAGTGTCCAATCATCCTTTCCCTTGCACTCATATTGTCCTAATAATGTAAATATACCATTCAATTTGTAAGTTTTTATTTCGATTAAGACTGAGACCATCATAAAATGTTTTATGTTAGTCTCAGATTAAGATGAGTTGGTAGAATGGTAGAAGTTGGTGCTCACTTCACTTTACCAGGGAAAACAAAATGAAAATATGCCCGTAACAAAGCGATTTCAATCAGTAATTCACCCGACTAAAGAAGTTTAATATACCTTTACACATCTGATTGAAGTATGGTCTAACTGTCGCTAAACGAAATGCACCATTTTTGTAATTCTTGTATAGATTTTTCACAGAGCTGACCCATTTACTCTGAGACTTCATTGTGTTCATTAGAGCTTTTACCAAAGCTTCATTGTGTCCATCTGTTAGGGCCTGCTTTGAAATCATTGTGTTGTAATGTTCAAAAATATCTTCGCGCTGAAGAAACTCTTTATAACTCATATCGTCATCAGATACATCAGATTTCATCTCAACAATGTATTCTTCGAAATTCTTTTTAAGTGTATCACTCACTGTGGTATTATCAAGAAGTTGGGTCAGAGTGTTGACACTAGCTAAAATTCTTTGCGAGGTCTTGCTTAGTTTTTTGAGTTTCTTGTTCAAATCAATTCCGAATACAATCAAGCCAGAGTCATACAATAAAAGATGCGGAAATCTTTTGGTTGTTTTCAATCGTAGTATAATATCCACATCATTTTTTAGATTTGCAATAGTTACATCATCGATGTCGTCATGGCTCAACTGTTCTTGCACAGTTTTAAATTGCTCGTATGTCCTGCACGCTTCTTTAGTATCGGGATCATGTCTTGCTGCATATATCGTCGCAAAACACAATGCAAAACATATCATGGGCAATATCGTGACTGAAAAACAAATTATTTTTATCCGCTTTTGCCCGCTCTTACATTCCTGATCTCAATATACGAAAATTATGAAAGTATATATTAGTCACAGTTTTGCATTCATAACAGTACAAATGCAGATTGGCGTTTAAATTGATATTTGAAATGGAAAAAGGTGAAACCTCAGGAGGTGAACTATAAGCTGTTTTTTATTTGGGGGGGTGCACCGTTGCATTCATAACAGTACAAATGCAGATTGGCGTTTAAATTGATATTTGAAATGAAAAAAGGTGAAACCTCAGGAGGTGAACTATAAGCTGTTTTTTATTTGGGGGGGGTTGCACCGTCCAAACTCTTATGCCTAATTATGTAAAATATTAAAATATCATACAATAACGTTGGAAACTTCAAAGGGATTTTTGAATATTTTCAATTTTTAGCACCTAAATACATGACAGTTTTTTTTTTTTTTTTTTTTTTTTTTAATTTTTATATTTCCTTTATTTCATAATACATCATACAAACAGATACAGGGCCTACGCCGAAGCATTATTGGCCCTGTTGAAGTAGTTACAATATAAGTTAAAATAGGTCATAATGTAAAAATGATAGATATAAAACATATTTATGAACATGAAAATAATCTTGAAAACATGAAGACAGGTCAGAGATATATGTATAAATAATGAATATTGGACTATTTAACTTCCTTGACAATAGAGTGTAAAAACTCGGCTGTTAATTCAATAGCCTTTTTATTTGTAATTGTGTCAAGAGAAGGATCTGCAAAAAGTAGAAAGTCTACCCTGTCCTCCTGTTTTCTATTATTAAAAGAGTTTAAATTAAAGGATGGCAGTCCCCCTAGTTCTCTGTGAAAATTGAGTCTTTGAGTGTTAAAAAGAGGGCAATGGAGCAATAGGTGTTTGGTTGATTCAGTAGAGTGACCACATTTACATTTGGCATTTGGAATATTTTTGAAGTTATGTGTAAAAAGATGCTGCCTAAAAATGAGATCACATCTCGTTTTATTTAAGACAATTTCTTTATCTCTGGATAGGTTTAATCTTGGGGTTGTGAATTCTTTCTTTTTCCCATTCAAAAATGTTCTAATTTTATACTTAAATGAGTTGCGTGAGTTTGCTTGTTTCAGTTCATCAGGTAAATTATCCCATAATTTAATACTGGATAAAGCTGTAAACTTTCTAAGTTTAGCAGATGCTTTGAATGGGATCTTAAAATCATTGCTACGACGAAGTCTTTGGTGGGTTACCTGATTCTTATACTGTTCAAAAACATTTGAAACATATGAAGGCATCTTATAATTATTTACAAAATCAAACATAAAAACTAGTTTTTTTTCTTTTCTTCGATTGGATAAAGATCTCCATCCAAGACATGCCATCACCTTCTCAGAGTTTGACCCTTGGATGCAACCACTTACAATAAGACCCGCTCTATATTGGACTCTATCTAAACTTGCTAAGAGGTTTAGATTTGCGCTGTCAAAAATAATATTGCCATATTCGAGATGTGGGAGAATGAATGCCATGTAAATTGTCTGTAAGTGTTTTGATCTTACTGAAAATTTGAGTGCTTTTAATGGATTTAACATTTTATTACACCTAGTAATCACTGAGTTAATGTGTTCTTCAAAGCTAAGGTGTTTGTCTAAAATGATGCCTAAATGTTTATGGCTATTTACAAGAGGTATTTGCTCATTATTCATTGTTACTGGAATTTGTTTCTTAACTTTTCGTGTGTGTTTAGATTGAAAGATAACCTCCTTACTCTTAGATGCCTTAAATTTGAGTTTCCATTTAGTGGACCAATTAGCCATTTCATTGATATCTGATTGAATTTTTTGATTTGTTGTTTCAACTGATTCATTCTTTGGTACTGTCAAGAAGATCGAACTATCATCAGCATATAAGAAAAGTTTACAATTATGAACTGAGTCTGCTAAGTCATTAATATATAACAAAAATAATAGGGGGCCAAGAATTGATCCTTGGGGAACCCCACTATTTATTTCATAGGATCTGGAGTCTCGATTTTGAAGATTTTGAGGAATATTTACACCAGTTTCAGCATTACATGAAATGTCTGAATAAGTATCATTGATCCTTACTTTTAATTTCCTATCTGTTAGATATGAGGTCAATAACTCTATAATATTGTTGCCTAATCCATAAGATTTCATCTTATGGAGTAACAAAAAATGTGGGACTGCGTCAAATGCACCTTCCACGTCTAAAAATATTCCACGGGTTGCTAGGTTAGAGTCAAAATTATCGGCTAACATATTAACAATAGAAAATAGTTGCTTCTGTGTATTATGGCCTGGTAAGAACCCGGACTGATTTTCATAAATGAGGTTCTTCGAGGAAACATGGTCAAAAATTGCTGTATAAATTATTCGTTCAAAAAGCTTTGAGAGATTATTGAGGAGGCAGATTGGTCTGTAGTTGGATGGGTCTGTTTTTGAATTTTTATTCTTATATATAGGAACAATTATACCCAGTTTCCAGCAATCAGGAAATGTATTTGTCTCCAAGAAAATAGTAAATAATTTAACTAGTTCAACATCGATAGAGTCAGCCACAAGTTTCAACATTTTGTTAGTGATATTATCTTCTCCACCTTTTTTAGATGAATTAAGGTTCCGTAAGTTATCATTTATATTTTTTCGAGAAATATTTATGTAAGTCAAAGATTCATTTGTTTTCATAGGACAGGGCGGCAATGACTTATCAATTATATTATGGTGGAACTTAGTCATGAACTTATTTAAAAAAGCATTTGCTTTTCCAAGGTCATCATCAATAATTATATCATTTATCTCAAGAAGAGGAATGCCTGTTGAAAACTTGGTTCCTATAAGTTTCTTTATAATTGTCCAGTAGTTTAGGCCATTTGCTGCTTCTTCATCCAAGTTATTACAAAGCATAATTCTAAGACAATGATACATCAATATGATAACGAAGGATTAACGAAAGTAGTGGAATCGAGTTTCTTTTTGAAAATCATTGACCATAACATTACAAAACATCTTGAATATTTTCCATTATTAAACATGGTTTTTTACCTTAGTACAGGGTGTTCCATATGTTTCAGGAATGATGCTGTATTTTATTGGTTTTCTTTCCAATCTAGCTGATTTTTTGACAAAATGTGTCCAAATATGTTGTTAATAAGTTGGAAAAGTTTCATATCATGAAACTCAGTAGACTGAATAATATGGTTGCTATAGTAACCTAGGGGTAGGGTAGGTGGAGCAGGTGTAACAACGCGCAAAACATGACATTTTTGTAAAAATAGTAGTATTTGTATAAAGTGTTCAAAGTATTAATTTGTCATAGTCGCATCAAACTTGTTGGAAATTAAAAAGAATAAAGGTGGATTCCTGGAAATTAAAAATGTTATCACACTCTTTATTAGCCATCATCATTATTTCAGCATATATCCCTTCCGCATTAGCTCTCACTGTTCTCGGAAATCCACATTTTGGATAATCGGTCTCAGTTTCCCTTCCAGATTTGAATCACTTGTACAACTCATACACTCTAGAGGTTACCATCATTGAGTCCCCATTTGCATTCGTCAGGAGTTTTAGTGTGTATGCTGCAGAAAACTGTTATTCACACATGTCATGTCTTGTCACAGATTGTTGTGTGTTGCCTAAGTCGAAGGTTTTCCCTTGTAATGACTTTTTCACTTTTTTAAGATGGCCGCTCGTCCAAAATGACCTGTGTTCATTCTCCTTTTTAACTCATGACATGACAGGTGTTTAAATTGTGATGTGATCAAGGGTGATGACCTTTTTTACTTTCTTGGTATTCACCTTCATTTTTGTTTAAATACTGACAAGTTTGATCCAACTCTGACAACCTAATACTTAGTCACACTTCGTACAAAAAAAACTATTTTTACAAATATTTCATATATTTTGCGCGTTGTTACACCTGCTCCACCTACCCTACCATTAGGTTACTATAGCAACCATATAATTAAGACTACTGAATTTCACGATATGAAACTTTCCCAACTTATTCAAAACATGTTTAGACACATTGTGTCAAAAATCTAGTTAGATTGAAAAGAAAACCAATAAAATACAGCATCATTCCTGAAACATATGGAACACCCTGTATATGCAATATTTATTATTTTGCAGATGCTCCTATTCTATTTTAATTGCTTAATGTACACGACATGTTGTATGATAATGAATGGATTCGAACTAAAAGTTTTCACTTGAAATATCAACAAAATTGGAAATTGTAACACGTGATCAATAAATAATGTGCACTCGCCTTTCTAGGATAAAATAATCTATATTGAGTTTATAAAATTTATATCACTACGTCAAGGCCATTTTGAGGACAAGAAACGTCCTTATGTACTTTCTTTGCTTCAAACAAATGCCTGTTTACTATATTTTCGGGTTTTATCATTATCAAGTTTATAAAAGCTAAGAATGATGAATCTCTTTTAAAGAAAGAATCGGTGCCCAAAAACAGTAACGTACCTACCAGTTGCCTTTAGAAAATCCATTGTTTTTTAACAGCATCAGGTCTATACTTTTCTTTTTATATCAAAAATAATGCGATAAATCATTTGGCGACAATGCACAGATTCAGATAGATTCAATAGTAGTTATAACTTCAATAATTGATTTGTGTTTAATTATGAATAATACGTTTCACAGTCTTCTCGGATACACTAATATAAACATAATCACTATGAAACTAAAACTGACCTAATTTGGAATACATCTAATATAGGTTCATCATTATACGATGTCTTCTTTTTACATAAAAACGTAGATATTGTTAACACCCTATGCAGACAGAGCCTGTGGGAAATATTGGGTGCGGAGCAAATGAGCGGAGGGTGCGGAGCTAACGGTCATTTTTGAATTTAAATTTGGGATATTTCTGAAACTAAGCCGTTTTGGGACTTCAAATATACCAAGATATGTGTATTTGACACCAAATATCAATACAATTCTCCCTTTCGCGGTTCGCTCTTTGAATCAGAACGTTCGCAAATATGTTCTGAAAAAGCACTCAAAAAGGACAAAATTTGATTGGTCAATATTTTCCCACTATGCATTTCGCGTAGCTATTTGCGTGACCCGAAAGTTCTAAATCAAACTAATTACGCAATTTTGTTTAAACACCCGCACGCTAAATAAAACAATGACACCATCGGAAGTATTCTTCTTTGTCATTGCTTTAATAGTCAGTATACCGAGTTTAATCAATAAAAGATTGTACAATGAACAACAAAATTCGGAAACGAGTACTATAGATTTGCTTTCGGACCACAGAACAGATTGACCTAGATAATAGTGACGCGTCTTCTTTGGTCTACTCCTTGAGTGTTTGTGGGTTTTCAACGTAACTCTATAATGTAATTTGAAGATGAACACTTTTATTCAGTTGTCGCATTGATGTTGCAGTTTGTAGTGCGGTAAGATTGGCATGAAAGTATTGAAAGTCGAATGGAATTGTTTTTTCCAATATGGCGACTAGTCAACTGATCACGTGACCTTCTCTTCCGGAATATTTTCTCACTTTTCCATCGTCGTTTTCACCACGCTATGAATCAATACAAAAAAAAATAGCTGTTATATTAAGATTAATAAGAGATCAATCGTTTCTAATAATTTTTTCTGTACTCTCGCACGGGAATATGAACGAATATATCGTTTGAAAAATAGGTGTGAAAATCCCCATGTTAAACCTATGAGGGAAAACAAGGAAGTATAAATTTGTTCCTCTGCGAACTGCATCATGGGAAATATTTTGACCTTATAAGGAAAGATTTTCGCGTCTCCTCTTATGAAGAGGGAACAACGATTTCGAGAATTGTGAAAATAGAAAAATAAAAATTCGGAAATGTTTTTCAGATATGAGCCCCTCTAAATATTGGGTGCGGAGGAGCTCCATAAACGTACCTCCGCACCCAATATTTAGAGGGGGCTCATATATGAAGAACATTTCCGAATTTTTAAAAATCACACAGATACTGCCTGGCTTCCAAGATGCAAAAATAATTTGCATGGGTAGTGTATCTTGAACACCATTTTTTATGAATGCTGGGGATGCAGTATTAAAAGGATAGTCTCAAAATATATAGGTCTGGGAAATGTTTAAGGCATACTGCGTCGCTATAAAATGAATTGCACTACTATTTTCACAATTGTATTGATACAAGGGCCGATCAAAAAGTTTCTTACCGTTGGCTCTCAATTTTATAATAAGAGGAGTTGGAAGCTCAAACTTTTACATGAGACAGGATAGTTAGTTTGCTTGAAACTGTACAAGTTTCATATAAATTGGTTCATTGGTAGTGACACAGAGTCAATTCGTATTTTCAATGACAAAGTTAGGTGGAGCAGCGTTATATATAAAATGTCTGCTGAGTTGTGGTTTTGGAAATCTACCGACATCGTTTCAAACCTCTCATACGAAGGCCTTTGGTGTCAAATACACATATCTTGGTATATTTGAAGTCCCAAAACGGCTTAGTTTCAGAAATATCCCAATTTTAAATTCAAAAATGACCGTTAGCTCCGCACCCTCCGCTCATTTGCGCCGCACCCAATATTTCCCACAGGCTCTGTCTGCATAGGGTGGTTAAGATGTTTTCAAAAGTTGATTAATACTAAGTATTTTGTGATGGCTCCTCATCGGGTTAATATGTCCTGGGAAATTAATAAATGCAGACAATGGTAAGATTTTTGTAAACACAAACGTAGCATATATATACTGTATAAAGTAATTAAGTTCTTTGAGATATCATCAACAGATAGTGGCTTCCCATATTACATTTATATTAACGTCAAAGAATCCCACATCAATTCATCATTGTGTATTAGAAGTTAGTAAGTATTCTCTCGGAAGAAATTATCCGACGTGTTTATTTGAATAGCTGACTGTTTTAACTGACACAAAATAAATAAAATACTAAGTAATCTACATTGTAATTATATATGCACTTTTTTGTTCTCCAATGTAAGATGGCTTATCGAGTGTTGGTAAGATACATTGCAAAGTACTTGTGAAAAGTAGAGCCTCAGTTTTACGAATGTGTTTTACGAAGTTCTAGAACTGATGAACTTTTCGGTGGCCATCTTGCTTTCTTGGTAATCAAGCCCACACTGCTATGTTTAGGTACGATATTGTTCACCATGTGCCTTGTTCAATCAAAAAATGTTTTGACAATCGGTTTATATTTTCAATCTAAACGTCCATAACAACAAATGTTGTGGCCTTGGTAACGCAACAGTACATGTATATATTTATGATGTTTGAACTCCGTGGTTATGGTAATAGTTTCCAACCAAAAATGGATTTGAAAACAATGGTAATCTTTTTTACAACATATATTTTTCATTGATTTTTTCATATAAAACAGTAAAACATATAATGGGGTCACTCAGCCTATCTGGGTTGGAACTTATAAATATTCTTCAAAGCATAATTTGACATTAGATTGGTTATTGTAAACCTAGAAATCCATTCTGGCCATGAGGATGAAAGGATTAATATCTATTTTTGCAATCACCAAAACGTCGAATGGAGGTCTGATTCTTAAGACTGATATCCTCACCTTTCCAACGGTGTATTGGAACCTTAGTGCAGATGATCTGAGATCCTTTATTTGACTCTCGATTGCACTACTAAAGCTTCGTGTATTGCATAGCTTTAGAAAACACCTGATCGAATATAGATGGCTGATGGACACGCACTGAGATTATTTCCATGTCAAATAGTTACTCTCATGTTAAATACATAGTTCCATGGAGTTTCAAAATATTTTCGCTAGAGAAATGAGTTAATTATCCTATTGAAACCAAAGTAGCAGTGCTAAATTAGTTAATTAGAGAGATACAAAGTGTATTGGAGTTACAATATTGTAATAATTTGTATTTCAGATTAGAAGAGCGATTAGATTAGAAAAGCGCACTCTCAGTATTAACAAAAAGTTGTAAAAAGAGAAGCAAAAATATTTGAAAAAGTGGTACTCAATGTTCAGATCAATCGAGTACGAGATTGAGTCTATGAGAAATTTGGTGAACGAGAGTTAAACCCCAGTGTTGACAAATATTTATAATAATAATATACAAATATTCATCATAAGAATATCTTTGCATGGGGACTTCTCATAGTTATCTATAGTCAGCACTAACAAGTAAAACATATTCTAAAAGTGGTGAATTTATTCTACCTGCATGTGTATTGTACATCTATTTATCGGGTGTCCAAAAATTAGCCACAATATAATCTCAACAACTGATGGGTCAAATTCACTGAAAATTTGTACAAAGTAGCCTAAGAGTATCATTGGGAAGGTACAGAAATATGAGAGATCAAGCAAATGTTAGATGAGTACTAAGAAATTAAAGAGAGCATGTGATAATATCCCATACCGGAGCAACGCAATGCGAACTTCATAGCGTTTGTACCAAAAAATGAGAAGCAATTTGACAAGTAATTTCTATGTTTTATATTCCTCTGCAGCAATAGATCAGCCAAATTCGTTGAAAACTTTACTTTGGGCACTTAAGGGTATCCTCTACCATTGCTATGAATATGTTAGAGATTGGTCTCATATTTTGTGTGTAATTTAGAATTAAAGACAGTGTGTTAAAATAACCAATGTCAATCTTAAAGTCAATTATTAATCAATTTCAACCAAAAATACCTTTCCGTATTTATTCTAACAATATAACCTCCAATGGATTTTGAGGATGAACTGGATTTAGGATATTTGGGGTTAATGAAAAGAATTAATCAAACATTACTCGGCTCTCATCGAACGCAGTGAAAACCGAGCGTGCGAAGATGATAGCTGGTATAGGTCTCATATTAAAGCTCCGGTGTAAAAGGGTAGGTGGTCCTATCAAAGGACAAGGTGCAATTATTGGCAAATATCCCTATGGTCAAAATGAATCATTCGTAGGTGTAACATGAAGAATAAAATGTCATATAATACTTTGGAAAATATTAAAGTGCTCGGACACACATAAGCTGAGATAGGGATCATTTCGTTCAGTAAGGTTGTATTGACTTACATGGGGCTGTGCACCATTGACTTAACATGAGGATATCAGCAGATCCCAATAGAGGCCATTGGTTTCCATTGATTATCACAGAAATACCAAAAATACACTATGACCTGAATCGATTGCAAACTTATTAATTTCACAATACGACACTAATGGTTTATCTCATCAAATGTGCAAATATGAAGTTTGCAATCGATTCAGGTCATACTTAAAATTAAAATTTTTTCATCATTTTTTCATCATTTTTTCCCCTACAAAATGGCTATAGAAAAATGCTCCAAAAACAACTTTTACACTTATCAAATATCATACAAGTTTGTAAAACCAAAGATTATACTATTATATTTCATTATGTAGTAACATATTTGGATAAGATGCAGGGATGCGTATGATGTAAATGGATTTTGGCAGACACAAAAATACTTCCTGGTTTGGAATCTATGCCTCTACACATGATTGAATTATGACACTAATAAGTGGCATATACATCAATACAGTGCT